ATAAATTTAATTTATTAATGGTGTGCACTCATATAAGGCAATAAAACCCAAATTCAAAACATCAAATGAGTCTGGTCTAAACCAAAATCGCTATAAAATACTTGGCATTCATAATTTATCCCAAGAAGGTAAATGGTAGGAATTAATGTTGTACGTACAAACATGAAGCTTAATGTATTGGAATAGGCATGTGTGGAATTTGTTTGACCAGATACACAATACACAAACAATAAGAGTTTACGAGTGAGCATAATGTACATAATCTAAAAATGTCATTAAAGGAAAAATAACAAATAGGGATTACGAAAAATTTAACAAACATGTCATCAGATGTCATTGAACTCAACAAAATATGGCCTTGTCCTAACCATTAGGGATCATTTACAAGATTCTCTCATCTACATGAAAAATCTTGCATCACCAAGCAGGCAAAAACCAAGCCTAGTGCAACAGGCAAGGACCTTTTATGCATTAACTCGCCAAAAGGAAAGATGTGACTTTCACAAGTCAGATTGCTGTTTTGTCGTCAAATGGAAAGTTAGCACATAGCGATTTTCTGGTATTCCATGAAAGATGCCAAAGGATATCCATACCAATTCAGTAAAAAAGTAGAACCAACAATATTAAGTTAGTCAACAAGTGTTCTTTTCTTTTGATAAGCAATAGTCAATCAACACAAACTCCACAAAATCCTTGTAAAAGTAAAATACAGAGAGGGAAAAAAAAGTACAAAAGGAAAAAAGAAAGAAGAAAAACTGAGATAATCAAAGCAGGGCAATTAAGTAAAGGGTGAATAAAGCAGGGTCCTTTTGCCTAAGACAGAAGGAATGACAAAAGGAACCATAGACAAGCACATATAAAAGCATGCACGTGCACACACATGAAGGGTTTTAGTAGTTATTATTAAGCAGATAGAACATGTTAAAAGGCCTAGAAATGGAGTAATCCAAGTGGGATTCTTTACATGAAGCCAATATATTGCATGGCAACATTTCAAAAGAGTTCATTACAACTATTAAAAACTTGTTCAAATATCACAAGAAGATAGGAGATCATAAAGTTACATTTAACAGAATCTTACAAATTGGCCCCAACAACTGCATTTTAAAATGAGGGGAAATTATAAATCAGAATACATGACCAAAAATAATTACAAAAATACATAGGGTTGCCCTCTTTCTGTGTAAAAAACACAGCAAAAGTTGCACCCCGAGAAGATTCTCATAATATAGTAAATATTTGCCCCACTTCCCGTTGAATAGTAATTTCCCTTTAAAATTACAGCCATACAAACATAGAAGAGATAACTTAAATTGCGGCATGCAACAACCTCTCATGCATTAAATCAAGCAAAATCGAAAGGGCAAAGCAAGGCTGAAATCAACTTCATTCAACCAATAAACCAAAATTATCCAAACACATTCATCGATCAATTCAATTTATTGCAATACTCCATACTTACACATCAGTGCTCAGAAATGATCGTAAGAAAAGTAAAATCTAGCAGTAGTAATTAAAATATCAGAGACATTCAACATATAGAAAGACAATGAAACAAATACATTTAATCTGACCACTAGTCAAATGGATACGCATAGAAAGAAAGTAAAGCAAAAATTAAAACAAAGACGAACATATATATATATATATATATATAGAGAGAGAGAGAGAGAGAGAGAGAATACTTGGATAGCTTAGCAAGGTCGTCAGATGAACGACTTCCATCGGAATTTGAGAAGTAACTATCGAAACCATAAATGATCGTCAAACAAAAACAAATTCATATATATATATATCAAACGAGAAGAGATAAACAAACAAGATAGGATACGCTACCCTCATCTTCAGAGTCTTGTTCCTCTTCTTCACTTGTTGTTATTGTTGTTGTCTAAGGGGCTTCGGAGAGAGTGCTCTCGCCCATCCCAAAGGTGACTTGTGTCACAGAGGTCACTCTTCTCCAAAAAGCTGGTGTGGACTCGCATTTTTCCACGCCCTGCCTTTCGAAAAGGATTTGAACAGAAGGCCTCACAGTTCGGACTCCTGCGGTTTTGAATCTAGTCTCACAAGGGCAATGTGAAACTGATAATCACCAAAGAGTCCAAATCTGGAAAACCTTTTTGGAAAATTGATTTTAAATCAAATAATGCCAAAATTAGACTACTTTGAGAGATACAGAGTCGCCATCTAAATATTTTATTTTTGAAAAAATTTAGAAAACCCTGACTCATGCCGAAGGCCACGTGTCTGTCATCACCAAAGTTGCCTTAGCTCGGGAACTTAGGTGCGAAAGGGGAAAGGTCATGAATTGAGCACCCTTGCTAGCCCGATCAAAGATCGGCCTCTACTAATCATGATATGAGTTTTTATAAACATTATGTGCTCTTATTCCGGTTATTAGACTAGCTTTACTATGTGACGCGCACAAACAAGTATAGACTAGTTGCAAGAATTGGAACAATTCAACTCATGTTTGTTTTCGAAAATGGTTTGAAATTGCCACCTTAAGTGGGCTTAAAGATGCGGATTTGCCACCAAACATAGTGGGCTTAAAACATGATTTGCCACTTAACAAAGTGGACTTAAAACACACATTTGTTGAATCATTCTAATTCAAATAATAAGCCTTCATCCACAGGCATTCAAGTAGTTTAGCAAGTAAGCATATAGCCTCATGGCAAGCATGCTAATCATGACAGCATTCACACTTATGTAAGTATGCTAAAGCGTAAAAACTCACCGAGTACTCCAAGCCAAAACAGAAACTAGTTAGAAAGATGCATGATCCTAACTATGTTAAGTGTCTAATGCAACACATGCAATAATGCAATTAATAGGCTCGGTTGCTAATACGGCATATGAATTGATTTGAACAACATGCGATTTAAACACGTATTCAAAGAATTATTAAAATTGCAATGCAGTTTGAATGATGCGTCGAGCCTTGGTGCATGCAAGACAAATGAATGGATGCAAACATGCAAGCATAAGGTATACTAATTGAAAATGTCCCTAATCTAGCCATCAAAAGTGATTAAATAAAAGGGAGAAAGACGTGGGGTTGGAAGATATACACACACGCACACACACTTATTACAACATTACACTCTTGCGAAGGAAGGTCCGAATGAATAAGCTAACCAACTAGCTACGCTAATTAAAGCTAACTAATTATTACAAAAAGAATTAACTAACTATTCTAGCTAACTAATTATTACAAACCAAAATTGAATAACTAGTTAAACTAACTAATTATTTACAATACTTTAATTAGCTACAACTAATTAATTACAACACATGCTTGATCTAATGCTAATTAAACTAACTAGCTAATCTCGGGCAATGAGGAATGCATGCATGCTTGATCTTTCACCCAAAAAAGCCACTGCCTTGCTGTTGCAAGGTTCTGTTTGCACATTTGATCACTGAAAATTCTGCCAACCTCCAGAACACCTCTGCTCCACCTCAGCAACACACTGTGCAAAAATCATTGATAACCAACAAGGGGAACAAGGGGCTGGTCGGCTACCAATGGTGGTCGGTCGGCCACTGCTGGTCCATACCTCCATGCTGCAACAGAGAGCAAAACAGTGTATTCTCATAGGTTGTCTGTACTGTTTACCCTCTTTATCATCACATAAGCTCAAAGGAGAGAAACTTTTGGTCCTCAAACCATCAATCAAGCAATTTCCATGCATGATGGCTTAGGGACCAAGTTTGTACAAGTTCAATAAATGCACAAATAAGACCAAAAAAGACCACCACCCTATCATGCATGATCAAGGGCAATGGTGACTAAGGAAAATGACACATTTCATCACTTTGAGTATGAAATGTCTCATTTGCCTTGTGTTCAAATTAACATCTGATTTGAACACATGTAATGCAATACAAAGAATGCTTATCTTGCACACTTTTACTTGCCAATTTTGTTTACTCATTTTAATTACCAAACCATACATTAGTCAATTTGTCCATTGGTGAGTGTCCTCTAATGGAAAGATGGCTCAAATCGCAAGTTGCTTTGGGCATGAAAGAGGCATTATACTGTTGGTAATGAACCCTCTAAGGGATTAAACCATTAGGTGTAGCACCTCTATTTCACACTTAGGCAAAAAAGTGGTTTGAAACCACTTTCAAAGCAAAACAAAATAGTGAAGAGTTGAGGGAGATTGCAGAGATTATAGTGCTGGAAATGAATGATAAAAAACCACTAAAACATGCTATCAACTCAAACCAATGGTGTTTAAAGCCTTAAAACACTAAGCTTGTGAAGGAATTAACACTACAACTATGCCATACAAGGCTCAAATGAATTAACCGGCCAAAAATAGAGGCAAAACAGCCCTAAATATTAGGGGTGGTCGCGGGTTAGTTGCGGCCACGGAACCTCTAATCCGCCATCCGTCCGCCAATCCGGCGGATGCGGATTGAGCAGATTGGCGGATTGATGCGATCGGTTTGGCGGCTTAAAATTTTACAAATTTTTGACATAATTTAACATGTACACTTTCAAAAAAATAACTAAATTAATGTGCACTTAATTCCTCAACCACCACCTATGTGCATTGTATACATACATAAACACTACAGCAGTGAGCAAAACTAAATTAATGAGAATCAAATAACAACCTGTTATTGTAACCTGCTTATGCTCATTTAACAACCTATTAATCAAATAACAATCTGTTAATCAAATAATAAACTGCTCATGCTCATTTATAAACAAACTGTTATTGTAAAACAAACAAACAGTTTGTTTTTGTATATGAGCAACTTGGACACCCACTGTAATACAAACAAACAAACAACACAACACAAATTTGAGAATTAAATGAGATTTGAGAATCATCCACTGTAAGATTAAATGAGATTTGAGAATCAAATAACTTGCTCATTTATAAACAACCTACTATTGTAAAACAAACAAATAGGTTGTTTTTGTATATGAGCAACTTGGACACCCACTATAATACAAACAAACAAACAATGCAACACAAATTTTTAACATACAACCATCCAAAATAAAATATTACAATCATCCAAAATATAATATTACAATCATCCAAAAAATTTAAAACTTCTTAATCCAATCATCCAAAATAAAGTATTACGGTCATCTAAAGAAAGTACCAACTAATAGTCATATTTTCAAAACAACTTAAAAAAAAAACAATAAAGCCATTGATTTCTTTGAGCCAAACCATGAACCATGAGCCAAACCTGCATAACGAAAAAATGAAATTATTTAACAAGGAAAACACTAAAAAGTCTTAAACTTAAAATAAGTAAATATAATATAACAAAAACATGTGAAGTAAACATAATATAACAAAGGGAAAGTATTTTACCAATGATATTAAACTTCAATATAAGTACTCTCCGGACTTGGGCTTGGACTTGAACATGAACTTGATTCCGAAACAACTACACATAAAACATAATACAACAAAAATATGTGAAGTGAAGATAATAAATAAAATTTAAAAGAAAATAAATCATTGTATGTATATATTACCCGAATCATATTGTTGTTCAAATTCTTCAACATTATCCATTGATTGTCGAAAGCATATTCGAATGTTACTTCGAAGCCAATTTTGTGTACAAACAAGAACCTCCACCATCTTGGGAGCAAGTGAACTACGGAATGGATCAAGTATACGACCTCCCGTACTAAAGCCGACTCAGAAGCAATAGTGGAGATAGGCATTGCCAACACATCTCTTGCTATAAGTGATAATACTCTATACTTTGTTGCATTAACCTTCCACCACTCAAAGATATCAAATTCAGCATTTTTCCCACCTTTCTCAATATCACCCAAATACTTGTCCAATTCCGATATACTCCCACTACTACAAAATTGCCCCTCCAAGAATGAGTTAAATTGAGAGTTCACAATAGAATGTGGATCATTTTCATCTATCACCATATCTATTATTTTATTTACATTGGAGACATGCACATTTGTTGAATCAAGTGTGGCATAATGATCATACAATTGAGTCAAACAATGTTTCACCTTGTCTAACATTTCTTTCACTTTCACCACATCCCCACCAAAAATTGTTGAAAAACAAAAGTGCAAATATGTCATTTTCCTTCTAGGATCAAGCACAACCGCAACATACAAAAGGAGATTGATTTTATCCCCATTTCCCCAATACTTGTCAAACTTCTCTTTCATATGATCATATTCATATGATCATATTCTAAATAACAGATCGGTAAATAGATTGAAGTAACTAATCTGTGAATAAATTATTCAATTGTATATTGATCATATTCTAAATTGTTTATGAATAGATTAGTTAGTGGTCACTTAATTGTTTATGAATAGTAAATAGATTGATCATATTCTAAACTATTCATAAATTATTTACAATTGAATAAATTCACTAATCTGTTACATTGATCATATTCTAAATAATAGATTAGTAAATAGATTAGTCACTGGTCACTTAAATATGAATAGGTCATCTGTTACTAGGTTATTTACAAATTGATCATAGGTTAAATATAAATAAATTACTGGTCACTTAATTAGTTACTTAAGACTATCTTACACATATGAATATCTCCAAAGGCTTCAGATTTATTCAGACTTCAGATTTTCTTTTAGTCACTAAGAATATCTCCAAAGGCTCTAATTTTTCAAATACTAGTACAATAAAACCTCATTTTCACGCTAAACCTTAGTCCTAAACATATCTTGGGCACTAAATGACATAAATTAAACCCAAGACCCCTTGAAGTAGGGCTATGAGACCATGTTTAATCACCAATTCTCTAAAGAATTTAAGTTGTTAAAAAAGAGCTAATGCTTCAAATGTTTCTAATGTTCTAAAGAACTAATGCTTCAAAATGTTTCTGTGAAGAATTTGTAAATAAATAAAGACATACATCCTCCAACGAAAAAAAAAAAAAAACTAAAACTAAAACCAAACAGGGGATTTTAGAAAAATAAATTACTATAAGACTTATTTGCCTAAAAATTGTATAAGTTCATTCAGTTTTTCCATTTTTCATTCACAAATTTGCCTACAAATTCAATATCCAAAAACAGATTCAGTTTATCCAATTTATCCACTTGACATTGTTACACCACTTTGCCTACAAATTTGACACTTGTCCATAATGGAAAGTTACACCATTTTTTTTCCTGTTTATCCACTTGACATTGTTAAAAAAAAAAATCAAAAAACAGATTCAGTTACATCATTTTTCCCTCTCTGTGAGCTTCTTCACATTGTAAACAGATTCAAGTCAAGGTTTCAGAATACAAAAAATTGGTGTATGGAGAGGGAAAGAAAATAGGAAACTTACACTTATTTTTCCTGTGTGTAAGCTTCTTCACACTGTAGAACCTCTCTTCTCTTCCATTGGTTTCTCTTACAACAAACTGGAACCAAAAAAGAAAAAAAAGGAAAATAAGAACAAACAGATTACAGAACTAAAAATAAAAATAAAAATTATAGAATACATTACAAACAGATTGCAGAAAATAAGAACTTTAGAGGTCGTCGAAGTCCGGAAAAAAAAAATACAGAACAAACAAATTAGAGATAGAGAATGAGGAGAATAAGAGAAGAAGACAAGACAATATCTCACCACCATACCACGATCGTCGATCCTCTTTCAGGTCAAAGAGTGCCAATGGGTTAGGGTTTTAATATGAGATTCTCAAAAAAGGGCTGGCTGAGGGCGTACAAATCCCAAAAAAAACGCGGATCGTCGATCGGCGATGGCTTTTTCAGTGTAGATTGTCGCTCGATCGTCGTCGCCGTCGGTATGGGTAGGGTTCTGGGGAGAGAGAGAGAGAGAGAGTATCGAAGAAGCTGAATGAAATAGGTTAGGTTAGTGTGGTAAGATGAGATCAGGAAAAAATGGGGGGAAAATAAAAAATAAAATAAAAAAAGAACAAAAGCGGGCGGGTCGGGTTTATTGGGTAAAGAGGCGGGTCAACCACCACCCGACCCGAACCCAAAAAAGCCAAAAAATGGGCCAACACCCGCCCGCCACGTGTCACGCATCCATCAATATGGCGTCGGGTCAGGCGGGTCGGTGCATCCGTTGACCACCCCTGCTAAATATAGTCTAAAACATGCTGAACTTGAGCCACAAAAAGCAAAAATAATAAGCTAATAAATGACGCTAACTAGGCATACAAACAAGACACAAGGAGGGGAGGCTAACCCCTCCAATTTTGGACTTCAAAATAAGGTTTTTGCCACTGAAAAACCTCTAAAATTTAGTGGTTAAAAGGCCCAAAAAAGTTGGTTTGAAAGTGATGAAAAAATAGTACAAAAGCTTTACAAGCAAAGAAGCAAGGAGGGTGAACCACCCCTTAATTGAAAATGGCCTCAAACCAACACTTTTAGACAACAAAAATAGATTTTTTTACAGTTCAAAATCAGCCTAAAAACAGTTTGAAAAGATGGCAAAACAAGTGTACAAAACAAGCTTAAAGGACAAGTGTTATACCTCTTGAAGCAAAGGACAATTCTAGGCACAAATGAGGCACTAAATCAAGCCAAGACCACCTTCTAGAGCTCAAAGAGGGTCCCAAGTAACCTCAGCCCAAAGATAAGCAACTTTGGTTAAGGTTTGATAGGCAAACTAGAAGTATATCTCTATTTGTATGCACAAAAGTTCAAGAGAGAGAGAAATCTAGAGAGAGAGGATTATAGAGAGAGAGGCTCCCAAAATTTTTCAAACCTTGAACATAATAGAGAAGGTTTTCTATAAATAGAAATATATGAGCCTTGGTCGAAAATATCTCAAAATGGACAGTTGGAACATTGTGAAAACCTCTAGAGGAAAAATATCTGCACAAAAACTGCCTTTTGACACCAGTGGCCGACCGGCCACCACTAGTGGCTGATAGCCACCATTGGTGGCCGAAAAGAGTCACCCTTGGATGACACATGGCTGACAAAGCCCATTCATGGCCGACACATGGCCGTCAAAGCCCATCTATGGCTAACAAACTCCACTAGTGGCCAGCCAGAAAAATCTGCTCTCCAGGTCCAACTTCTAATGGGCATATCTCCTTCGTTCGGACTCCTTTGCAGGTCATTCTTGAGTCTAAATTGAAGCCTCAGAAGTCTTCTTTCCAATGGTGGCAGCCTTATATCAAAATTACAGGTGTGCTAAGAGATATTCCTATTTTAGTGAGGCCCCATTTGTTTTGGGAGATTGAATGGAGGGGATTGATAGTGAGGGGATTAATAGTGAAAGGATTGATAGTGAGGGGATTGATAGTGAGGAATTGTTAAATTATTTTTATATAAAATAATAAAACAAATAAAAAAATATAAAAAATTAAACATTATATTTTAAAAAAAATTCCCAATATATAAAAAATAAAAAAAATAAAAAAATTTCTAATCCCTTCACTATTTTTCTAATACTATCTCTACCTCCTCCTTAGCAATCCCCCTTCCAAGGGGACTACTAATACCAAGGGACTAATAGTCCCCTCCCCATCTCTCAAAACAAACACCCCATTAGTAATACCAAGGGATTGATAATCCCAATCCCCTCTCTATAACCCCAAACAAACGGGGCCTGAAGGCTGCTCAGATTTGGCTTAACTAGATTGATGCCTAACTTCAACCAACCAGTTTTCTTCTCTCCCCTCCTATTTTCTTCAAATCCAAACCTCTAAATAAGGTGTTTTAAAATATTTTTCGAGGATTTCACATCCCTTTCATTGATTTCCACTTTGTTCTTACTCGGTTTATTGAAAAGCGTAACATTTAACGAAATATGAGCCTCGGAACATCGTAGAAACTTTTTCAAAAATGTTTTGAAAGAGAGGGTTTTAAGGTCTAAAAATCATTTTGGTCAAAAGGTTTTGGTCCAAAAAGGGGTTGTAAGGTTGGGATTTGGAGCTCTCTTTGCCGAAGAAATCGAACCTTTGCACAACATAGCCTTCACCATCGAATGATCAATCAGAGGTGCCTAAGTCTTAAAGGTGGTCAAAAATGGGGGGTCTACAGTTGGAAACCTAAAAAAGATTGGTGAAGACTATGTCAAGACACCCAAACAATATGCAACAATGAGGGTCGCGACCCGAACAATGAGCGTCGAAGTTGATGGCTACAAACCAGTGGAGTTTTGGGTGAGTTCAGTGATGACTTGGATTTTTTTTTAATTTTTTTTATTTGGAGTTTTAATTTTTAATTTGTTGGTATAATAATCATTCATGTATGGAGGTTTGTTTCCCTCCCTTGTGGGGGCCTTTTCTCCTCCTCTATGGAAGCTTGGATCATTTCTTTTATGGAGGTTGTTCATCTCTTTTTCAAATCTTATGATACCGCTGTACCAAATTAATCAGATCTTTTTTCGATTTTGCAATGAAAATTTTCTTCCTAGTCTAAAAAGAAAAATTAAAATCATACAAAAATTCTCCTTTGAAGATAGTCTAAAAAGGTGCAAGTGATAGACTTTTATAGTTGAATGAGTCAAAATATACGAGTTCATAGATAATAAGGTAAATTGATGTTCGCTCATAATTGAGGGGCTCTTAGTATAATTAATCTCTTGTTTTTATAACTAGGCATAAAATAATAAATTTTATGCATATTTATTAATGTGAGTATCATTCCTTTTATATCTAATAATAAAATAAATTAAATAATCTATTTATGTATAGTATATATGATTACCATCCATGAAAAAGAAGTGTTTGTGTGAATGGAAATCATCAGCCATGTCTTTTTGCCTCATCATGGATTTGAGGACTTTTTAGGATTGAGATCTAACGCGAGGCAGAATTAAACTGTAATGACCTTCTGAGAATTTGTGGTCATTGTAATTTCATGAAAATATATATGCCAACAAGCAAATTATATTTGTGGTCATTGTAATTTATATCTTGTACTAATTTGATGGTTATATTTGTTCTAATTTTATGAATTCAGTCTTTTAAATTTTTACATTATGTCAATTTTGTCTAATTGATAACATAGCATAATCTCTCAATATATATATGTACATACCACCAACCACTACCACCAGCCATCGACACTGCTGTGAAGCTCCTCATTTCTCTGCCACCCACTTTGCACCTTTATCTGTCGTCAATAGCTCCACTAGTGTGACCCCCAAGCCCCACCATTGCGAGCCCCCTCTTTCCAGCCAAACCATTATAGCCTCCTATAAACCCCCACCCTAATGATTGACCATTATACTTCTTACGACTACCACCTTGGCAACCCTTACCTCCACGACGCACAGAGAGAGAGAGAGAGAGAGAGAGAGAGATCTAAGGTTTTAGGTTTCCAAATCTAGGGGTTTGAAGAAGAAGAAGAAGAAAAAGAAGAAGAGAAAAGAAGAGGAAAGGGGTTGTGTGGGTAGGGATAGGGTGGGCAGGTAGGGACAAGAGATGGGGAAGGGAACGAAGATGGTTGCAAATGGTGGACGTGGGGGTGGAGAAGGGGCAATGAAGCTAGGAATGGGAGATGGTGATAGGTTGGCAAATGGGATAGGGTTAGGGGTTGAAAATTGAAGAAGATGAAGTATTTTAGGATTATTTAAAAATTAATTGATGGTGTGAATTGATTAAAAAAATCCAAAATTTGTGGTGTGAACTTAAAAGATGATGTGTAGACAGAACCTTTCTTTTTAAATTAGACTTCAATCTCAATTATTTTGAAGAGAGTGAATGTATTGTTTTATCCTTTGATTTTAGTCAAAATTTAAGTGGTCATTATTTATTGGACTTGTGAGGTCCCTGACTTTTGTAAATTTTATTAAGACCCTTAATTTTGGATTGTTATAATAAAAGCCCTCATTTCCTCGTTTGTTCGCAATTTTAACCCTAGAATCGAAAACGCATTGTGGGCGAAACTACGCAAACTCTAATCAACCCTGGTAGCTTAATTAGCATTTCTAACACCCTAAAAATTAATTATTTAACTCTCTAATTTTATATTGATAGTTCGAAACCCTAGTTTCCAATGTCACCATTTTCGTTCGATTACTCGCATTTTAATTCAACACAAAGCAACTCAAGCCAATTTTTTTCCCCTAACACTATTTTTATTAATTCTAAATTTGAAAAGGATATTTTAATTGAGCCCATACCCTCACACTTTATTAAAATTTCACTTTAGCCCCAAATTATTCTTTATATATATAAAGTACAATCCATTATAATATTCTTTTTCCACAAAATATCTACACATGTATATATGTAAGTACATGTACAAAAAAAGATAAAAATCCTAGGTCTAAGCATGCACATGGCTGGCCACCCCTTTGGAAGAAATTGATGAGCATTTTTGAAGCATAGTCCATGAATTCATGGAAAACTTTCGACTTGGACCCAAAAATTTAGGAGATTTGTCTTATACCCTATGCCAATATAGTTTCATTCTAACTAAGCAACAACTAGATTATGACTTAAAAATACTTAAAATATCTTAATCAAACTCCATTCCATCACGTTTCAACTAAATACAAGTCCATTCTATTCAATTCCAACCAAAGGACACCTTGGACATTTCACCACAATTTTTCTATAAATAGGCCACCTCCCTCAACACTTTTACACACTCTAACACATACACCCACACACATTTTGGCTAGAGAGAGGGAGATAAGAGAAAGTGTGAGCTTTGGGATGAGAAGGAAGAAAAAGAGAGCAAGCTTGCACAACACCAATCCTAAGCAAGAAAGTAAGCCACAACACAACATATCCTTCTCTTTTCTCTACCAAATACATGATATTAGATGCTTAGAATATTGTTTTCACAACCTATCCTTATCTTTTCTCTACTAAATACATGGTATTAGATGCTTAGAATATTGTT